AGTAGGAGTATGCCATTCAGCCCATCGAGCCCACTTTACCATTCAACATGATCATGGCTGATCTTCTCTCTGAACACCACACTACAGCTCTCTCCCCATACTCACTGACACCCTTAGCCTCTAGAAATCTACTTCATTCTTAAATATATTTAGTGACATCACCTCCACAGCCTTCTGTGGTAGAGAATTCTATAAGATCAACATCCTCAGTGAAGAAATTACACATCTCAGTCAAAATGGCCTACTCATGTCCCAGGACTGTGACTCTTTGTTCTGGAGCTCCCTGACAGAGGAAATATCATCCTTGCATCTAGTCTGTCCAGCTCTATCAGAATGTTATATGTTTTAACGAGATCTCTCTCATTCTTCTAAACTACACTAAATATGGATCCAGTCATCCTCATATGACAAACGTGCCATCCCAGAAAACTGTCTGATGAACATTTTTTGAACTCCCTCTATGGCAATTATATCTGTTATTACATAAAAAGATGAGAATTTCACACAATACTCCAGGTGTGGTTTTACAAAGGCCCTTGTACAGCTATAACATGGCCTTCTTGCTCCAAACAAAGAACAGTAGTATTGCACAGTAACAAGCCCTTCAGCCCATCAAGCCTGCACCAACACATGGCACCTTTCTAAACTAAAACCTTTTGCCTCTACGCAGTCTGCAACCCACTATTCTCTGCCCATTCATGTATCTGACAAGATGCCTTTTTACATTGCTATTGTATCTGCTTCTACCACCTCGTCTGGCAGCACATCCCTGACACTGCACACCCCCTGTGTAAAAAAAACTTGCCTTTCACGTATCCTTGAATTTTCCCCTTTTTACCTCATTGTTGACTTGGACTGTTTGTTTTTTTTGATATAATGAACTTTTCATTAACCAGCACCTTAAACCTATGTTCCACAGTAATTGACATTTCTACCCTGGGGAAAAGATGTCAACTATCCATTTTATTCATGGCTGTCTTAATTTTATAAATTTGTACTCAAACTCTCCTTCAAGGAAGGACTTCCCAATTGCTTGCAGCTGTTCTGATGAAGGTTTACTTGGAAACTTTAAACTCTGCTTCTCTACACACAGATGCTGCCAGACCTGCTGAGTTTCACGAGCACTTTTGGTTTGTGTTTCAAATTTCCAGCATTCACTTTTTTTTTCTTTTTATTATGCTTCCTGCACCTGCATGCTTGTTTTCAGTGAATGGTTTACGTGGTCCCATTTTACATCTGGATGGGTTGTAAAATGGTAAAAATAGGAGATATGAGAAAAACAGGCTAAACTTAAAAGTTAATGAGACAGCAGGGCCAGAATGAATGCATCCAGAGATACTGAGGGAAAACTGGCCATAATCTTCCAATTCTCATGATTACTGTTGTGCGCCAAAAGGTTTGAATAACTGACAAACTTCAGAAATGTTCAAAAATAGATAAAACCAGCAACTATAGTTATTCAGTCAGTGGTGCAAAACTTTTAGAAACTGTAATCCTGGAAAAAATTAACAACCACTTGGAACTAATATGAATTAAGAAAAAGCAGTACTGCTTTGTTAAAGGTAGATCATGTTTAATAACTGAGCTTCTGATTTGAGCTTTCTAATAACAGATGGTTAGTAAGGGAAATACACATGGTCGGTAATGCTTACATGCTTTGAAAAGGATTTGATAAAGCACTAGATGAAAAGCCTAGAACCTACCGCTTGCCAGCAAATTTAATGTCCATGGAATAAAAGGGACAGTGCAAAGTACATAATTGCAAAGTGGTGAACAGTTGTTTTCAGGACTGAGCAAAGGTATACAGTGGGGTTGCCCACTCATTGTTGACTTGGACTTTTTTTTTGATACAATGAACTTTTCATTAACCAGCACCTATAAATTTACCCACAAGTACTGACTTCATTAGCAAATACATGGAGTACTGTGTACCAAAGAAGTCAATCCAAGTGTACCGTAAACCTTGGATGAACCAGGAAATCCACTCCCTACTGAAGACCAGACGTGCAGCATTCAAGTTGGGTGACCCGAACCAATACAGAAAATCCAGATATGACACCCACAAAGCCACTGAAGAGGCAAGGGGCAGTACTGGACCAAGTTAGGGGCCTAGACCTACCAAACAGACTCCCGCCATCTATGGCAAAGCCTAAACGACATTACAGGATACAAAATGAAACAGTGCAAGACGGTGGACAGTGACACATCCCTCCCTGACAAGCTCAATGCTTTCTATGCTTGGTTTGAACAGAATACCACCAGCACTGCGATGCCAGCCCCGACAGGCCCGGACACATCTGTTCTTTCTGTCACCACTTCAGAAGTCAGATCAGTCTTCCTGAGAGTCAACCTAAGGAAAGCGACAGGTCTGGACAGGGTCCCCAGCCGAGCACTCAGATCCTGCGTGGACCAACTGGCTGGGATATTCACCAACATCTTCAACCTCTCCCTCCTACAAACCGAGGTCCCCACCTGCTTCAAGAAGACCACCATCATCCCTGTACCCAAGAAAACACATGCAGTGTGCCTTAATGACTACCTCCCAATTGCTCTGACTTCAAATATCACGAAGTGCTTCAAAAGAGGCTGGACATGGCCCACGTCAACTCCAGTCTCCCAACTTGCCTCGATCTCCTACAGTTTGCCTACCGACATAACAGATCCACAGAGGATGCCATATCCCTAGCCCTGCACCCATCCCTGGAACATCTGAACAACAAAGACACCTGCGTCAGACTCCTGCTCATTGACTACAGCTCCGCCTTCAACATCATCATCCCCTCCAGACTGATCTCAAAACTGCGTGACCTTGGTCTTGGCTCTGTTCTCTGCAAGTGGATATTCAGCTTTCTGACCATTAGGCCACAATCAATGAGGATAGGTAACTGTACCTCCTCCACAATAACACTCAATACTGGAGCACTCCCAAAGATGCATCCCTCAGCCCCCTACAGTACTCCCTGTACACCTACGACTGTGTTGCCAAATTCTGAACAAACGCCATCTACAAGTTCGCAGACGACACCACCGCAGTGGGACAGATATCTAACAATGACAAGTCAACGTACAGAAGGGAAATAGAGGGCTTGGGTACACGATGCAATGAAAACAATCTGTCTCTCAACATCGGCAAAACTAAAGAACTGATCATCGACTTCATAAAGAAAGGAGGAGAACATGCCCCCTCTATATCAACGGAACCGAGGGTGAGAGAGTGAACAGCATCAATTTCCTTGCAGGCATGATAACCGATGAACTGCAAATGCGAGAGTCAAGAAGGCACAACAACGCCTCTTCTTCCTCAAGCAGATAAGAACATTTGGCATGTCCATAAGCTCCCTCATCAACTTCTACAGATGCACCATTGAAAGCATTCTGTCTGGGTGTATAACGGCCTGGTATGGCAACTGCTCTGCCCAGGACCGTAAGAAACTACAGAAGGTGGTGTGCACAGCCCAGACCATCTCGGAAGCCAACCTTCCATCCATGGACTTATTTACATGGCTTGCTGCTGCGGAAAGGCAGCCAACATCATCAAAGAGCACTCACACCATGATAATGACCTCCTACAACCACTTCCATCAGGCAGAAAATACACAAACCTTAACACACATGCAAGTAGGTTCGGGAACAGCTGCTTTCCGGCCATTATCAGACTGTTGAATGGCCCCTAGCCTCAAATAACGTAACCTGTATGCCGGCCGTGATCAGACTGTTGAACGGACTCTGGCCTCAAATAACGTAACCTGTATGCCGGCCGTTATCAGA